GGGGTAATGGCGCGAAATCAGAAATACTGTGGATAACATGGGCTAAAATCGCCCCATGCTCGATAATACACTTAGATGCAAAATCCACACCATGTTTGCCTTACGACATCTCTCTCTTCGGACTTCTTCACACTAGTGATGTGCGAATCATGAACGAATTGTTCAATACTCGAGAATCACTTTACTCACTCGTGAATCATGATTCCCAAGTCCAACTGACTCACTGAGTCATCCCTGTTGCTGTTAGCAAACTAATTTCATTAGTAGAAATATATCTAGCTTATAATTAAAACTGTGAAGAAAAACACAACATTATCAGTATCTTAACAAAAGCATTTCTGCTCTGAACTGGAAGAAAAAACCCTGAGTAGAAGCTCACATCAAGACAATAGCTCCTCAGTTCACAGTAGCGTCGCTCTGCTAACATGCTAACAGCACATTTGAGCTACTCACCCCCTCCTTTCCTGCGCTGAATCATAGCGCCAACGAATCACTCACTCACCCCCTCCCTCCTGGCTCACAGCTTCTTCTTCTTCTTGGTTGGCAACCAATATTAAGGCGCATTACCGCTCCCTTGCTCACAGCTCAGTGGATATATATATTTGACACATTTGAGGAAAATACAAATAAAATAAAAATAAATAAAATAAATGTTTCCTTTAGAAATCTTTTTTTTTTTTTGCTCTATTCTGCTCTATAAAAATAGTTGTTTTTCTTTTTCAATCACTCATCTTAGCAGTAGGATATACATGAATAGAGAGATAAATTAAGTTTGAGTGAAAATGTACATTTTTTGCACTCTCTGGTCAACTGACTCAGTGACTCAAAAAAACTTTGGTGAGTGACTCATTCAAACTCGATTCAGTAAAAATAATCGAATTTACCATTACTAATTTGCACAAACCTTTACCACTCGTCCCGCCCCTATAACAGAGAAGAGTGACATTGACTGGCTCATCAACAACCAATGACAATACAACATTAAGGTAACTGACATTAGATGGGTAAACAAACTTAGGTTACACCCCAACAACAACAGGGCTACATTTGGTATTTGGTACTAATATTATAAGTTATTTGGTACCAGTTATTTTGTATTTCTGTACAGCACTTTGATCAATGTAAAATGTTTGATGTTGCAATTTGATGTTGTAATTAAATGTTTTATATAAATGAAAAATTGTTTCCTTTATTTTACTTTTGATTTGGTGATGAGAAAAAGCTCTTATAAAATACCCTCCATTGAAAACTCTAAATTGTGGATGTTCCCCTGTAATAACGCAAAGGTAAAAACCTGTGTATTATTATATCACTCAAAGGGTTCTTACAGGTTACTCTAGCCTCATAAATTAATCAATCATTGGACTAATCCAGGATACTACATTTAACCCAGTTAACAAATAGGGAAACTGCTCTCTCTCCATTGTGTAATCGATCCCTTAATTGATTAACTTAGGGACATGGATATTCTAGGTACTTTCAATGAGGAGAAGAGGAACAAGAAAACTAAAACACCTCCTTATGCTGTCTTATAGAGAACACTCTATGACATTTATTACAACACAACACATAACAGTCTCATCAGCAACTTCAATAATATGCAGAATGTTAACAACACTTATGAGACAAAATCAATACAATCCCCCCTTCAATCAGTCAGTTCAGTTTCCATATTAGTATTAGTCCATTTATGTCTCTTGTCACAGTTCTACCTCCACCAACCACTCTGGTTTGGTGAGGAAAGGAAAAAAAGTAAAATATGGTGTTGAAGTAAAAAAGAATAATAATAAAATAAATTCAGAGCTCTGAGAAAAACTTTGTCAATCTACCCGGGTAGTGTGTGTGAGTGGATAAGCCCAGTGCTTATCTGCAAAGATGAGTAAAATCCTCGTTCGCCGTCCTTCTGGGTGGAGCGATATGTCTCTGGAAAAAGCCCCACTGGATTCGCCTTCCAATCGCCGATCAAGTATCCAGCAACTGTCTCATGTCCCAACACAGTAAAAAACAATTGGAAAAAAAAGGATGCGTGGTAAGCAAATCCTAATAGTCTGTAACGATAAAAACCTTAACACTTAGAAAAAAGGTTCGTATTCTCTTCCGATACACCATGCGCTCGGGCGTTCTTCTTCTAGCTTGCTGGCTATCTGCTCCGCTGCAGCTCTTCTTCTTGCCGCATAACGCAGCGCAGGACAACTATAGCGCCATCACTGCCCCCTGTTGGACAGAATTAGTACTACATACATTAAACATTAAATCATTGGCTTGAACAGCAGTGGATAACCTTGAGAGGGTTACAATTGCATAACCTTTACTAGAGCTGCTTTGTTTCTGTGGGTTTTTTCCATGTGACTAAGCATAAATGGCTAAAGACACACCCAAGTATCGGATTTCCAAGCGACAGAGATCAACAGAGACACAGAAACAAAGAGTTCTCGTATAGGTTATGGAATGGAAAGAGAGCTAAACCTGAAAAGCCTGAATACACACCCAAGTACCTCATCTCAGCGTAGTAAGTTTGTGAGTTTTTTTTCCTCACACTAAGTAGAACAAGAGAGTTACCACAATTTTACATTTCTGCCTGTTCTAGGAAACATTATTGCTGTGGAGTAGGAGACCAAAAAAAGGTAGGAAAGCACTGTTTTACATAATAAATAGTGATTAGTATGATGTTTTTTGTTATGTTTTGTTTTTCACTGAAAACAATGGTTTACTCTCCATGAGTCAAAATGTCAAGGTATTACCTAAAACTTTTGACTTAAGAAGTCAAAGTTTCAAGTTACAGCTGCATCAGAATTTAACAATTTTGACTTATGGAATGTGGAAAAAGTTGCAAGGAAAACATAATTATCTGTAAAAAATAGAAATGTACAAATCTTAATTTCTTTTTAAAAAAGTCCTACATGACTGCAGTCAACAAATGTGTAATAGCAAGAAGTGAGTGTGTAAAGCCTTACTCAGTAATGAGTTACGCAGTGTAGCAGATGTGGTAAATGCTTATGAATTTCACCAAAACACCCTTTTTAAATTAAATATTTCATTTTGCGTTTTAATTTCCTGCTGATACGTTTTGATTGTGTGTTTGTTTGGTTGTTCACAGTGTGATGACGTAGGCATGTGCGTGTGTGCCCCGGTCACTCACAGCTCCTTCTAATTTGACCAGAGGTAAGTCACTTTCACGTTGCTCTCAACTAATAAAAGGCCATTAGTTGTAATTTGAAAACCTGAACTGCTGCATTTTGGTCTGTTTAATATGTGACTTGTTCAGTGTGAGTCTTGGGGAGGGCTGAGTTCACTAACTGAAGTTTTTAATGAGTTTTAGCTCAAGGATACAACTGTAACGCTAGCATGCTAAGTATTTTGTTAATGGCGTGCATTCTTTTATCAGGAGAGCTGGCCTAGCAGAGGAAACAGCTCAGCTGTTTTTTTGCATATTACAGGTATGGAGATATTTTTAAGTTCTGGAAATGTAGTTTCTCATTTTTTTCTTTTGTGTTACAGAATGAGTGCTTATATTACCAGTAAAATGGCATCTATTAATATAATTTTATTGGATTTGAGTTTAAAGGTTAAATTGTGAGTTCTTGTTATGTTTCAAAACACCAAAACTTTGGATCCCAGTTATTAATTTGTATTTTTTTTGTATGATAGTTTGATTTTTTTGTGTGTGTTATTTTGTGTATTATTCTTCCAAGTTGTGGTTTTGGTGATTATTCAGTAATAAATTAGTTTATATTATTTAATTTATGCTTGTTGTTGACTTTTGAGAACTTCAGTTGATATTTCAAAACAATACATTTATTGCATTTGATTTGTTATATTATTGTAGCATCTATAAAGCTATAACATACATAGCTACTACAAAATTGAGTTCTAAACCATGTCTACAGTCGACAAGGACACAAATATGTGTCAAAAAGTCAGAGGGAGAAAAAGGAATGAAGAAATATGATAACTCAGGTTAGGGCTCTTGTTCAACACCATGATAGAGAGGGACACAAGCTAATGTACTGCTAGTGCTATTCCCAAGCACAGATGTGTGGGGATGGCAGTGTCACTGTGTTGTGTGGGTGTATTTCTTTTTCTTGGAATCAGCAGCAGCTCATTTCCTCCAAGGGGCCCGTACACTGCTGGCTGCATTCAACAATCAGCCACTAAACAATACAATGGCTGGTGAAGAGCTGCTTAGTCTCAGCATGTGTTTGACCAGCTAACAGTTTTAGTGGTGTTGAGGGCTACTAGTGAGTAGCTCAAGTTTTCCTTTTTTTCAATTTTTCAGTTCAGTTCAATTTTAGTTCATTTATACATCATAAAATGACAACAATAGTTACCTCTGTCACGGTCAATAGCAGGAACTCACGCGCAGAGCAGGTTGACGTTTCCAAACACAGTTTATTTACAACACCAGTGCAGAATATATACAGTGAGGGGGAAAATCCAGGATTCCAAAGGTCCAAGAGGAAGCTCTCTCACACTCGTTCTCGTCTCAAAGTCCAAACTCTAGTGATGGGATTTCCGGCTCTTTTTAGAGAACCGGCTCTTTTGGCTCCCAACCGGCTCTTCAGGTTGTTTTGTTGCTTTAATTAATTAATTATCAACAACAATATAAAATTATGCACAAAAGGAATTAGTAATGTAAAAAAACGTGCTTTATGTATGTTTATATATAAATATTTATGGGGCCCCCTAGAGACGAAACACGTACAAACTGCAAAGCACTTAAAAATCCTAAAACACGTACAAACTCCAAAACACATTTCTAGCGTTAACTGAACTTCCTTAACAGAGCTACCTAGAT